TCCTGCCTAGGCAGGATGTCGGACTCGATGATCTGCTGAGGTCCCTTCCAACCCTAGCATCTATGAATCTACAAATAGATTCATCAGGGATCTGACTAAACTGCTTACACGTACACCAACGGTTGCCTAACATAACTTCTATGAGTTACGTCTTACTTTTGGAGGGAGAACTTTATCCAAGCATGGAGTGGCTTACACTAGTGCAAAGCTGTGTATTATATGTCCACTCTGCTTTTACTAGAGGTGTATCACCACCTTAAAAAGCTTAAAACATTTCACCCTCACTCACAAACAAGCTTCATTCAGCCAGTAAAAAAGTCTTTGCCTGGAGAGAAAAGGGAAAAAAAATGAATGTTACCTCATGTGGCTATAGTTTGTTCTTTCTTACAAGGGTGGGGGAAGAAGGGAGGACAGTTATTCACCTTTTCACAATTTAAAAATTCTTTCCCCCAAGTATTTACTTCCCCCTTTGTGCCAGATGCTGCTTTGAAAAGGGAAGGTACAAACTCTTCTTGGATCACTCTCATTCAAGAAGAACCAATCTAGAAGAGGGCTACTTAAGACCTCCATCCCTGAGACCAAGTAGGTCTACAGGCATTGCCGGAAAGCCTCCCGAAACATTACCATGTTGCCACTGCCCACACAATTCTGTCTCTGGCTGGGATGTATCTTGGCCCATACAAACAAGAATAGAAATTGAACATTAATACCAAAACACTGCATTGAGCTGAACTGGGGTGAGAGGGTAGAAAGGTAAGCAGGGCCAGGAAATAAGCATGAACATTTCACAGAGTTGGCCAAACAATCAAAACTTTGTCAGGACTGACCTGGGCCAAATTTGAACCACCATCCTTGGGACACAGATTCTATGATGAGTCCACTAAGCTATTCAGTTCTCCACCTATTCTTTCACAGGGAAAATAGTAAGTGATTAGTTTGATGGTTATGGGAATTTCAGTTTGATGTAGACTTCTTCAAGAGAGTTTCTGGGGCGGGGATCAATACCCCAACAAAAAACAGGAGCTGACAACCCTGCTGAAATACTGTCAGAAAAACCGTCATAAACCCAAATGAGGAGCTGCTGAACTAGGCCTCCAGGCCGAGCTTCCCAGAGTCAAGGTTACTGATCAAAACACAGGTACTGGTTCCCTCCTATTCCTACAGGAAGAGGGGCTCAGCCAAGCCAGTTATCTAAGGAACCAGACCCTTCCTGCTGTAGCAGCATGCAGCTCCTCTGCAAGAACCAGGTCAAACACACAGGTCAAACACGTTATGCCCCAGAATTGCACTGAAATGCCTTCAGAAAACTGCATAAAGGACACACAACCATGCCAATGCAGATATGCACAGGGAACACTGAACCCCAGGCCAGATTCAGCACCAGAACACTGAGGAATTCCCATTGAATTCTGAACGACCAGGTCCAGCAGCACATGGCACAGGGGCGCCAGCTGGCATCAGGGCTAAAAACTGGAAACAAGCCAAAAACAAAGTGGAGGGGGTATAGGAAGAGTACTGTCAAAGAAGATTCAGCACAGCCAAAATGAGCAGGTGGGAAGTTTGACTTCCCAGCATGCTATCTCCAAGCCATACTGCTCTCTCCACCCCAAATATTTGGCATCAGCCTCAAGTAATTAGCATCCGACCTACCAGAGCTTGGCTTCTCGTCCTAGCTACTGTAAGGAAAAGGACCTCTCTATTCTAGCAACCAAGATGGGAGCCTAACTAACCCCTTACTCTTCTTTCTGAGTAATCTCTATGTCTCCTGCCTCTTGGGGAAAAGCTCATCCTCTTTCTCCACCTGCAAGGATTCTTCCTTCCTTTAGCAAGGGTTTTATGTCTAAGCACCAGGCAACGTACTCCTAGGTCTTCTTGAAAAAATACAGACCAGATACACCAGATAGAGAGAAACACAGTGTGGTGGCTGATACTCTGTTGTCTACTTTGTTGAATATCAGAGAGCTTGGAGCAGAGCTTCGCTGCACAGAAGCACGCTGGGGGGAAGATGTGCACACTGCAGGGCAACGCTCCATTTGCCCACTCACTTGCCCGCTTTGCCAGTGCAGGGAAGAAAAGTGCATTTTTTGAGCCCTGGGTGGATTCTAGTTGGTTACAAAGCCCAAGCAAGAAACCCTGACATAACTGGAGGAAGATATTGCAGGCACCCCGATCAGAAGTTACAACAAAGAGCTTAGTATATTGGGAAAGATTAGAGTAGCAACATCAGTGGGTACAACAGCAATACTGGATGATTTTCGCTACCCCAAGATTAACTGGCACATGTGGAACAGTTCCAACAAGCAAGCTGACACCACAAACCATCATAAATTTGAGTAGCTTGAGCACCTATGAATAAGGAAAGGAAAGAATGGTACATCTGAGTGCAGGAGGTCTACAGAGCAGCTACCAGGGCCCAGAACGTTCAGATATCACAGGGCAACCCCCTGATGGGGAACAGTGATCAGCTTTAAGGACTTGATCAATCATCCAAGGTGCCAAGCACCTTAGATTGCACTGGTGGCACTGGTAAATAAGGGTTGCTATCAGTCTATGAAGAGAATGGTTGTGATTGCAGCCAAGGAAAGAGTTGAAAAAGAAATTCACACACTACGCAGTTTCCAATTTAATCATCTGTTTTTAAGAACTCTACCACAGTCAAAACTAAAACATGGGCCCTAGAGCCAATACAGCAAAAAACGGAAGAGTATAGTTTGTGGCTAGGCAGAGAAATTACACAAGGTTTAGGAAGAAAAAATAGATCCCTTAAACAGTGGAAGTCCTGTCCAAACAGCATAAACAGATTTTAATATAAACTCTTCCAGGCAGGGTGCCAGTTATGAAAGTTGACACACACACACACACACACACACACACACACACACACACACACACACCATGAAATGAAGGACATAAAGATAAGAAATTCATTCAATACATCAGAAGTACAAACCCTGCCAGGGGAACTAAGGGGCTGTCCACCCCACCTAGGACAGAGGGACTAACAAAGGAGGAAGTCAGAAAAACATTCAATTTTATCCATCTTTAGTATAGAAAATTGGAAGGGCTTCCCTATTCTGAAGTTTCTTAAACGGGAGAACAGAATGCAGACAGAACAGATTGGAGTCGCCATGGAAGATATTATACATCAACTTGAGAAACTTGCAGCAAATCCCTGGCATCAAAAGGCATTTCTCATAGAGTGCTAAAGGGAGCAAATAGGAGCAAATAAGGAGGATATGCAAACACGCTCTTAGAAACACAACTGCACCTGAAGATGAAAGAGCCAGCACCAGTCAGGGCAAGGGAGAACTACAGATCACTGAGCCTCATATCTCAACACCAAATGAGGTGTTAGGGCAGCGATTCTCAACCATTTCCGACTCAAGGCACCTCCTATTCCGCTCAAGGCACCCCTCATAAAATGTCAGCTCTTAGTTTTCATTCAGTTTTTGACTACAGAAAAATAATAGAGCAACTCTTCTTCTGCAAAGAACTAAGAAAGATCACAGCAAGTCAGAAAGTTCTTAACATTATAGATTCTTTTTGAAATCTCTGGGTTTATCATGTGAATCATGTCTGAACACCTTACAGTGCTAACATAGCGTGGCACCCTGTGTCACTCTTGAAAGGATCTCAAGGCACCCTAGTTGAGAATCAATACTGTTAGAGTATTAGACCATGTGTAGAGGGAATACATCTAACCAACACATTTCGCTAACTTGCTTGAAAGTTTGTTTTTATTTTTAAATTAAAAAAAAAAAAACCACTGACAAGTGGGTTTTTTTAAGCTTGAGTTTTTTTTAAACTAGGGTTTGTGTTTGTTTTTGTTTTGTTTTGTTTTGTTTTGTTTTTTTGGGACGGGGGGTTAAAACTAATTACCAAATAAAGCACCTCTTAAAAAGATGGCTGGATTTTTCTTTAAAATAGATTTTAAAAGGTGAAAGGTTTTTTGTTCTCCCTGCTGTACTGACATGTACAAGAGTCTTTCCAAGAAACAGGGAGCAGGCTTGAAAGCAATACCAAACTTCTTACTTTATGAGACAAGACGTGTGAATACTCAGCAATGAAACCAATCCTATACAAAATGCTACCAAAAGCACAAAGTAAACCGACTGGTAAAGGAACAAAAAGTTTCATGTATTTTTCAGTGACAACAATCTCAGGTCTTATTTCTAATGGCAGAAGGTAAAAACAATTTTAGAAAGCAGTCTGTATTTTCACTTTGACAGAGTCCCTTAAATAAAACAGCAGAGAAAGGTGACCCTGTGGCCATAAATTGAATCAGTGACACCTTTCTAAATAAAGCCCTCCATGAAAACAACACGTAAGCAGGAGAGTTGTCACATGGATTAAAAATTAGCTAAATGCTATGGAAAAGTCTTAGTTAATAGCAGCTCCTCAGTTTGAAGGGAGGGAAATGCTAGATTTCTCAAAGGCTAATATTGAATGGAGTATATTGGGTACTTTGGGAGGAGGAAGCAGGCAGTGATTTGGTGAAGCCTGCTGATGTGCTAATGCAATGGTTTTCAACCTGTGGTCATGGACCCCCTCAGGGTCCACAGACTATATCTAAGGAATCCATGAAAGGGGTCTATGGCTGAAATTGTCTGTACCTTTTCCCAGCAATGATACAAACACAGGGCCAAGGAATTTCATCAACATGTCCTGAAAACACAGACCCAGAGAAAAGCAAGAAAGATTGTTAGAGATTTGGGGAGGCCCTGGAGCTAGTGAGAGTTAGCAAAAGTGAAGATAATTTACCTTGTAACAAGAAAAGAGTTGAAGAGGGCCTGAGAGAAACTCTTTTACCTTCTCAAATCATAAAGAGAACCAAGATCACATCCGTTCTATGGTACTGCCATTTATACCACAGGGGATCATCAAGAAGTGCTGTTGTCATATGTACTTATGCAAGGCAAGAAAATGCGGGGGTAATCAAACCCCTTACTTTATGAAGGAACCTAATAATCTGCAAAAAAAAAACAAAAAAAAAACAGGAAGAAACATCCTCTACTATGAACAGCACTGCACAAAGGGTCAAATGCAGGCTAGACCCCCTGACCCCCCCACACACACACCTCCTTTCCCCTTGGCTCCCATATATACGCACACACATGCGCTCCTGTGCAGCATTCAGCACAGGCCACTGCCGAAGGCAAGATGCAGCACTTTATGGTCAATCTGTCAGATCTGGTATGGCAATTCCTAAATTTATAGTTTAAAATATTACCATGCTGAGCAAGAATTTTGAAAAAGGACTACAAAATGGAGCCACAATTGATTTCCTTTGCAACTACAGAGCATGACAAAAATGAAACCTAATGTTCTGGTCCTGAAAAGTAACCATGTCTGTGTAATGAGGTTATTTAACACTGAAAACGTATTCTTTTTTTCCTCCAATTGTCATAATGGTAAATTGTGACCTGACCTTCCTGTTCTTCCCTTCATCATCCTTTCCCAGGAGTATGTGACCTGCCCCTAGCTGGGAAGTCTTTTGTTTTTCAGTAGAGTTGGTATATCGGTTCACCCTGCCCTTCAGCTGTTCCATATCGACAGCATCAAAACCTGGGACCACAGTAGGCTGGAGGCCGGAAGATGAAAGCCAAAGAGAATACTGGTTTAATTAAGGTACACATAAGCAAAGACCTCAAGAAAAAAGGTCTAAAATATAAGTGCAAAGAGCAAAAGAAATGTAGCTTGTTGCAGCTGTACACCAACTAGATCCCCTCTTAAACTTCGAATCACGTCTAGACAAGCCAGGCTTCTAGACTTGAGCTAGCCAGGGGATATGGGGTTACTACCCATATCCCCTGGACACAGAATGACAATGATCCAAGATATCCCACAACTGAATAGTTAATATTAATCCACTGGAGTCAGGGACAATGCCAGCAACAGTCAGTGCAACACAAATCCAGATATACTTCTGTGCCCCAGAGCATCCTAGAGCCCCATCCCTTGAACTAGGTCATGGGGGGGGACGAGACATCTTTTTTCTAGCAATACACATTCATATATCTGATAGGTTTAAATACCTTAGCCCTCTGCCGCTTTCAAAAGCACCAATAAAAACTGAATTCACCTTGCTAAAAGTACCTAGATTTAAAGAGTCTACAGAGAAATTAAAAGAAATATTAGGTCTTGGGGCAATGAGTCTTCAGCATATGAAGACAACCCCCAACAATATAAACTCCCCTTTCACCACACTCCCCCTCTTCTTCCAGCTCTGTGACAAATCCAATTTTCACTGCTCAGAGCAGCTGGAAAATAGACCAAACCCAAACTCCCCCTCTCCCCCCCAAAAAAATAAAAAATAAAAAACAGGGCTGTTTCTGCCAAGTAAGCACTGAATACGCTGCATTCCATTTGATTAAAACAATTACTCAAGAGCCAGCCAAGAATTACATAAAGCTTCCTCTCTGCACCACCCCCATCCCCGTCCCTCCATTTCTCCCACCCAAACACACACAGACCAAACAGCTTCCCAGCTCTGCACACAGCACGTCCATTAGATATCACCCCATGGTGAGATCACACTGGAGGATGCAATGCAACCACCTCAAATATCATTGGTTATTCCATTCCTCATCCAAAAGAGAGTTCCAAAACCTATGCAAGGTGACCAGAGACCAGACCCCAGCATACCCAAATGCACAGAGCTTGCTCCACCACCAAGTGGGTCCAACACACACATCCAACACACTTCTTTGCTTTTGTAAGCCAAGGTCACACTTGGAGGCAGTTTGGTATCTGACAGGCTCAAGGAGCAGACAACCTACTGCTGGCCCATACAGAAGGCTGAACAGTCTTTATTGTCTCCATAGACTATGACCCATGCTTCTAAACCAGTGGTCATCAATCGAATGAGGTTGACATTCAGAGGCTCCACGATCAGGAGCAGCAGGACACATGTGGGGAGCAGCCAGGATGCAGTCCAAGTAGTAGAGGCAGGACCCACATGGCTAGGCTGAGCCATACCCACTGCTACTGGGCTCAGCCGGGTGAGTAGGACAATCCCACTCTACAGCCCCTGCCACTGGGCTGGGCCAGGGGAGGGTCCGAGCCTGGGTAGCTCATCCACCACTGTACACACCCTGGCAGAGGACCGAGGGGGGGTGCACACATACCTCCCTGATCTGTGCAAGGGGCAAGGCAGCTGCCGCCACACACTGGGCTTTTCGCCCGGAGCCCTGCTGCAGCTGGCTTGGGAGCGGCCCGACACCACGTGCATCCTGCCACTGGGTGGGCAGGGGACGAGGCTCAGCCCAGCAGCGGGAGGCACATGGAGTTAAGCCCTTCCTGAGCCGGCTGCAGTGGGGTTTGGGGCACAAGGCCCAGCCCACAGCAGGAGCTGCCTCTGCTGCTCACAGATTGGGGGGGCATGTGTCCCCCCACAAATGCAATGGAGTGGGGGGCTGCTTTATTGCTCTGAGCTGCTGGTCCCAAGCTAGGGATGGCCTGCATCAGCCATGCACTGCCAAGGATGGAGGTGGGACTGGAGCAAGACAGCTGCCCGGAAGTGGCAGCTTGGGCCAGACACCAGTGGCACTGGGAGGCGGGTTGGGTGGGGGGTTGCTACGACAAATTTTCAGGTGCCCGCACGCAGCCCCACCCCACTGTGGCCCCATTTCCAGTGCCACTGCTTCCCCATCTGAGCTGCCGCTCCCGGGCAGCTGCCCCACTCCAGTCCTGCCTCCGTCCCCAGCACCATGCAGCTGACACAGGCCGCCTCCAGCTCGGTAAGTCTTTGGTTGCTTTTTAATTCTAGAAGTAATCTCCTACTTAAAACGCTTGGAGACCACTGTTCTAAACAGACACCAGAAACAAAGGGTTACGGAAGTGCCAGATTTGAGCAACTTGAAGCACAAGCGTAGCATGGTACAGCAGCTGGGTTTAATGCCCAAGGGATTAAACACCTACAGGCTGAGCTGAAAACTACAAGCCTGGGGTTATAAACAGGGATCCTGGTTTTCTCCGATAAAAAAAAATCCCCAATTTTCAGGTAAAAAACACTAACCACAAACCCATTTTTTTCTGTGATCAAAATGAAATACCACTAATATATACATACACCCACACACACACACACATATTCTAATATTATAAAAGCCTAAGTCTGTCTGCCTGTCTGTCTGTAATGCTTTATTCGCACTCTGACTGGCTGATGGAGACATCCAATCAGAGTGTTCCAAGCATGGGAGAACACCTCTACGATTCCGAAGCAGCACCGAGGACTGCAAGGGGTGGCAGAGCCGGGGCCTCAGCTCCCCCACCCCGCTCCCTGAAAGAGGCAGAACAGCAGCAGCATGGAGCGTTAGGTGGCGGCACTCCATCCCCGCCCCCTCTCCGTGTCATTCTTGACGGGCAATTGGCTAGTATATATATTATTAACCAATTGCCTGTCAAGAATAAGGGGAGGGGGCGGGAATGGAGTGCCACCACCTAACACCCCATGCTGCTGCTGTTCTGCCTCTTGCAGGGAACGGGGTGGCCCCAGCTCCGCCTCCCCCTGTCTGGTTCACGGCACCGCCATCGTCCCCCTCTGCCTCCAGCCCTTCAGTCCCCACTGTCACGGCGGCGCTCCGCTGTCTGTCCCCGTCTGTGTAGGGCACTCTGATTGACTGCCGAGACAGCCAATCAGAGCGCAAATAAAGCATTACAGAGATGGATTTAGGCTTTTATAATATTAGAATATAGACACACACACACACACACACACACGCCTTAACTAGTTAACTGTCTGTAATTGTATGTATGGGAAACCTGCAGGGACAGGGGGCTGGGCCAGCGCGCCTAGCCCTGGCCCTGGCCCACCTGTGCCGTCACGGTGGCACTCCGCTGCCTGCTGTCCATAATGCTGTATTCACACTCTGACTAGCTGCCGAGAAAGCCAATCAGAGTGCAAATAAAGTGTTATGGGCAGATAGACTAAGGCCACAGAAAAATGTAGATTTGGGGTTACTTTTTTAATCTGAAAATTGGGGATTCTTTTTTTTTTTTTAGATCAGAGAAAACCAGGATCCCCGGTTATAAGAACCTTCCTGACAATTCATTCCAAGCTGGACTGGCAAGTTAAGAGCTCTTCACATTTCACAGCAGGA